CTTTATTTAATATTTATTTTATTAAATGCATACTATAAAATACACACACAGTTTTTAAAAAGTTTTAATAAATTCGAATTTAAAATTAAAGCGACGACTTAAATTTGTAAAAATTAAAAGGGAAATATTAGATTAGATTAGATGGAATCGAAATATGTTTAGAATGTGAATGGAAGAAATGTTGGCTATAACTTATAATAATAACAATACTCTTTTGGGCTTCCAATTGCATATTGCATAGGGGTATTTAAGTTGATTTTGTTACGATTTGAATAGCTCTTGCATATGCAATATTGGCACAGCTTTCCGCGATTTACGAATGTTTACAGCCCAAATGGTAATGCATAGGAGGCAGGGGGCAGGGGGCGGGAGGCAGGGGGCTCGTGCCAGGGGGGCTTTTACGAGTGTTTATTTGTGCGTCTAAACATCTTTAATGGGGAATCATAAGTCCCGGTAATGTTGCCGGATACCCAAAAGCAAACGTCGCACACGCTGGGTGGCAGTCCTCGTTGTAGAACTTTTTGATTTTAATGATATACTGGCAAGTATTTTTTGAATTATTGCATAGCACATAGCACATAGCACAGTGCGTAATAAAATCTCACCCGGACCCGATACTGAGGGCTGTGGATGTGGATGTGGATGTGGATGTATGTAGTTTTATTGTTTTTGTCTCGATTTAATTAAGCCAGAGCAAAGCGTGCCGCCAGCATCGTTGTTGGCCATTTACTTGGTGTTTATTTGTTTGTTTTAGGCGCGTCGTCATCGTCTGCCTTCAAAACTGCAGTCCCCGCCCCCCCTTTCCGTTCGTGCAGTTTCGTTGAGTTGCATGCAGATAGACGCTCTTAATCTCAAACAGTTTAACACATTTACTTCATCTATGCACGAGTATCTTGCTTTGTTTCATTTTTAGTGCGGCAATTAAAAGTTGAAAATGTTTATGTTCATTCTTTGGTGACCACAAGGCTAAAGCAAATGGTTTGTTTTCTTTTCATCCAACAATCAACATTATACACACATTCACTGATCTGCTAAATTAATTAATCGAACACGGACACGAAAACTATAATTTACATCTATTATTCCAATAGTCGCTGACATTCTGCGGAATATTCTGGCAATAATTGCGAGCATTTCTAGTTTTGATTATGACATTTTAAGAAAAGGTTATTTGAATTAAATGCTTTTACTTTTGAGCACTCTACAAGCTCATTATTGATCAGGATAAACTGAAATATTTGTCTTTATTTATTTTTATCTTTTTAAATCTCAAGCAAGTTTATTTTCGCACTTTATTGATTTCCAAACCCTGTCATCTATCGAGGCTAGTTGCCACCAATAAAATTGTATTCGTTAGGCGTAAGTGAATTAATATTTCCACAAGGGTATATATTCTTCGACACCACGAGAATTGCGGTTTTTCCCTTTTTTTTTTGTTTGTATGCAGGCTATTAACTGCCACACACGTTTCTTCATTAATTCCACGTGTTTATTTATTTAAACTAACCTTTTATGGCGCAGTGGCGCTACGGACATTGCATACGCATATGGCAACACACACCCACTCACACACACACACACACACACACACACACATGTGGCAGTCTCAGAAGGGGGTGTGTGGAAGGGGGGGAGGGGCGACTCTGGGTCGTGCATTACACAGTTTGCTGTCCACATCATAGAGGAGCGCTTCGCTGCCGACAGCTAATTGAATTTAATTGGCGCGAAAAATCTGTATAAAAACAAACAAATCTTTTAGTTTTTAACACTCTTCTTATTTTTGTTGTTGTTGTTGTTGTTGTTATTGTAGCATAATTTTATGAGTTGTTTATTTCATTAAGCAACAATAACTTTTGCTTCTGCCAGACCACCTTCTATGGCACAGTTTTACTGCCAATTGTTTATGAATTAAATTACAAGTAAAATAACATGTAAGAATCATTATTTTTGTTGACTAGAAAAAACTCTCCCATTTGGGCTCTCTCGACTAGAAGATACACTGCCCGAACGCAGACTAGAATATACTTCCTATAAGCCCATTTGATGTCTCTAACTTACAGATCAGCTAATTTATGGCAATTTATATTAGCCAAGAATTAAGTAATATATATTATTTAGTTGGATGTTCCTCCTTTAGCCTCTTACTCATATTTAATGGGCAGCGGGTATATAACTAACAAGCAACATTTATAACAAAGGTTGCTCAAAATGAAATATGGCCAGTCAAACACGATCTGGGCGTTAAAAATCGATATGTAAACGATTCGAAGGCTTTGCAAGATTTAGTGTTTGGCGCCACTTGGCGACCAGGGATCGACATCGGGATACTTGGCTTAAATCATTTTGTGTGACAACCCGCTGACAATTGAACGAAAACCGGCATGGACAGGTCAATCCGACGTTTTCAAAACTATTAATTTCACTAACGATGCACAAAACATAAATACATACGTACATACATACATACATATGTTGTGAACATGGCAAAAACCATTAAATGACGTGCTTTTTTTTTAAATTAACAAAGCAATAAAACAACAGAGTCCAAGTCCAGCATAAGGAACAACCTAAGTTAAGACGAGAAGTGCGGAAAAAGATTCAAATTTATTATGTATGTATTTGAATTGGGAATATTTCGTTTTATAAATTTTAATGGATTTCTTTTGTTAATTTAGAAATTATTAATATAAAAAAATTATATCAATTTATTATTATTAAATTTTGAAAATGTTATTGAATGTATTTACTAAGAGTATCTTTAAGCTTGTGGCAGCTTGCGAGGGTTACACAAATATATTTGCCAACCAAATTGGGGCAAGCATAAGACTAAGGTATGCCAAGGTATGCATCTAAAGATGCATTAAGGACTGGATTAACTATCGTTTTCTTAGCTTCTTCGTTTCGTTGCCAATTGCGTACAGGAGACACTAAGATATTATTGGAATCATATAAAAGATTATGCAGCAATCTGCGTAAAAAAATAAAGAACACATACAAAAATCGCCGCAACTTTTAATATCAGTGGTTGTAGTCGAATGTTCGCAAATTGACCAAATCCTGGCTTCGAGCAATCTACTCCATGCAATTCTTATCGCCATCGTGGACATCTTCGACTAACCCAAAACAATGCAACGCGCAATCAGCGACACTTCATCGGCCAAAAAAAAAAAGAACTAAAGAAAAAAAATCAGCAAACAAAAGGACACAAAGCGTAATGAGGTCGAAAATATCTTTATTTAAAGAGGTAGGCAGACCCAGTCGACTGGCTTCCACAGAAAGCAGCAGCAGCAGCAGGAGCAGCATCGAGTTGCATAAGCAACATATTTGTCATTCGCATGGGGCGCAGGCTGGCAATAATCGCAAAGCAAATATCATGCAGGGGTCTTGTTGCGCCACCACCGCCAGTGCGCCTTAATTAGATGAGGCGACAAGCTGCTAGGGACTCCAGTCTCGGGAGTCTCTCGGGAGTCGGGAGTTGGCGTCGAGCTATGAGAGGCAGACACGATCTTTCTTTCGATGTAATATAGCACACAGCTCGGAGCTGAGACTGGTTGGTTGGCGACGCTGACTGCTAAACAATACCATGTTTACAACTTATAGGCAATGAGAACCTTCTTTTCTTTTTTTTGTTTTTGTGGTCTTCTACTAAGGACCAAAGTCTGGAGTTGTAAGAGAGCCCACATATAGGTATGGGAAGAAGTCGACAGACTCAATTGCTACTAATGGCATATTTTGCATTCCAAAAGGGCATTGCGCCAATTGCAAATAATTTTAGAGTGTAGTTTGCTTAATAAGATCACGATTCACAAAGATGAGCTGTACAGATAGCGACTAGACTGGTTGCAGAACCCAGCCAGCTGCTGTTCCTCCTGAATTTTGATACGCAGATGCTACGACTCACCCGACTAACATATCTATTAGCTAAGCAGCAATTTAATTATACCTTAGTCTCGATTGTTCACCATTTGAGAGAGCAACAAATAGTTGATATAAACGACGATTAAGTGTAGTTTCTGGTTCGATAAGATACGGTTGGAGGCATATTCATTATATTTCCAATGCTGTGCAGTGTATATAAAAGTCCTCGAGTCACTGCTGAGTTTCGCAGAAACAATAACTTAATTTAGTTGTCTGAAATCTTGTAGTTGTCGGCAGCCAACAATGCCATCGTCCTCTTGCTAACAGTTCCAGTTGCGGACCCACTCTTGGCACGGGTGGTATGTCAGCTTTACTGCGACTAGACCACGCGAGGAGGCGGGGCAGGAAGGGGGGTGTCTGCTGGGTCTCACCGGCCAGACAAACTACTACGCATATGGAGCTCGATCGAATGTAGCGCCAATTACACAAAAACAAGTAAGAGTGCCACAAAGACTAGCCGATGAGCGACTAGCCGATACCCTGCACGCAAAGATAGATGGGGATTATAGCAGCTTGAAATTGAAAGTCTCTGAGATAGACTTGAACCGACTAAAATGACCAGGGGTATACCCAGCTCTTCGTGATTTATAATTGGATAATCCATTTTATAGAAAAACACTTTTTGTCTATATAAAGTTGAGATGTTGATTGGTTACTCCTGTGTACGCCCTTGAACATGGTCCCATCATGTTGACCAAGAATTCATTTCTTTTCTGCTTATAAAAGATTACTTTGATACACCCTATTTCAAAGCGTACAGGGTATGCAAGAGGCGAAGCAGCCGCATGTGCTGAAATCTGTAAATCTCCAAGGCAAATCAAGCAGAACCAAAAGGAACAACCCAAACCAAAAACAACACAAACAAAAAAGAGAAGCAAGATGACATTTTGGCAAGATGGTCGTAGGGCGATAAAGATTAAGCGAGCGGTTCACCGCTGGGTGCCAACCAGAACCAATGCAACGACAATTTAAGCCAGATTCACAGTCGAATAGTATAGTTCAGGAGCAGTTGTTGCAGTTGTTGCTGCTGTTGCAGTTGTTGCTGCTGTTGCCCATGAGCCAATGAATTAATTTGCGGCGCATTTTAGTTAACAAGTTTGTAATTAATTAGCAAGAGGACAGACATTTGGAGCAGCAATCCTCGATATATATATGTGTGTGTGTGTGTGCACTTAATATATGTCTGTGGATCAGAGTAGTCGATACTTGATGGCTCGCAGCATGGGGAAACGATCACCGGTGCACTGGCCACGGAAGTCATCCTGCGTCAGATCGAACAGGGCGACACCGCCGAGATTCTTGGCACGCACATACTGCGCCTTGCTGGCAGCCGTATCGGGATCATCGTAGCTAACCCACATGCCATACTCGCCGTCCTCATTCGCAGCGCGGTAGGCATAGCTGCCCAGGCGTTTAGTTGAATCGGACACCCGACGTAGCGGAGCGGCGTTTCCTTTGGCATTCACGTTGCTGGGATTGGGCAGCAGTTGACAGATTTCAGCCCAGTTCAAAAGACCATCTGTCTTGGACTGGGAACCGGCTGGCGCTGGTCCGTTGGTTTCTGCCACCACGGGCTGTCCAGTGGTTCCCGAATCTGTGGTCAGTTTCCATGCCCGTCCATAACTGGCAATGCCAATGTTCAGTTTGCTTGCCGGCATGCGCTGCAGCAGCCAGTGCTCCATTTGGAAGTTGACGTTGTAGTGGGGCAGGCGACTCTGATCGGGGACCTCATACAGTGGAGATGAGTAGTCCGCCTCCTCGGGATTGCGAGTGGGCGTCACAAAATCAAAGGTGGCCAGATTGACAAAGTCCACAGATCTACCGATAGCAGGTACATCAAAATACCCTGAGGAACAGACATTATAGAGAGGGTGGTATCCACATTAGCTTAGCCAATAACTTACAGGTGGAGTTCACATTCGGTAGAACGGTGAGACTGAGCAGTAGATCATTTGCCTTCAGAGCAGTGTTCAGATTGCTGACAAGACCGGTCAACTGTTCCTTGTGCGTCTCAGCCTCGGTGTCCACAACGAAATCGCCGGTGAAAAATTTCTTGAAACTTTTCCAGGCCATGCCCACATCTGAGTGCACCTTGCGGGGCTTGTTGCGTGGCAGCTGGAACGCCAGATCCACACCATCGAAGTTAAAGCGACGAACGACATCCCTTGCGGAGTCAATGAAACGCTTCTGGCCCTGCAGGCCAGACTCCAGAAGCTTAATATATTTATCCTCCTGCTCCAGGTCGCGATCACCGCCCACGCTCAATAGGAACTTAACATATGGATATTTCTCCTTGAGCACCGTTATTTGTGCATAATGACGTCGCTCAAAGTCCAGCCGAGGATTTAGGCTATTCAGTTCGAAGGTGTCCGGATTGATGCCCGCATAGCCATAGATCACGTGCGTGCAAAACTGCAGCGCCAGCTCCATATCAGTGAGGGTGAACTGAGCGAGGCCTGTGGGCAGATCAACAAATCAACAATATACCGAGAGACAATGAGAGAGAGAGAGAGACAGCGAGAGAGAGATCATACCTCGCCGCTCAAAGCCCAATGAGTCGTAGTAGCAAACCATATGCGGCTTGGCAGCGCTGCTCAACTGCAGAGCTGAGAGCAGCGCAGTCAACGCCAGACCGAGCCGCAGAGAGAGCATTTTTGTAGACTTGGATGTGGAGAGCAGCTGGGTGGCAATAGAGGGTAGGAAGTGGGTGACACGGGGCGACAAGATCACAATTAAATACGTCCGCACGTAACGAGAGACAAGTCACAACTGATCATCCAAATGGCAACGGAAATCACATCAACACAGAGCTTTGTTTAGCGATGAAACCGAACAATAGGCTATATATATATATATATATATGTATATATTATCAACGAAATTCAGGGAATTGTTGTGTGTGTGCACACTCTACACTGTTCACTGTACACAGTACACTGTGCTGACAAATGACGTCGAGGTCAATGAGATCACTCTGTTCGGGTAATTTACAAAAACTTAACAGTATCATTTGCTCAAAGCTTACTCGTGGACTACTCATTAAACAAAAACACAAATATTTTTTGGCGATAAGCTTGAAAAAAATATTTTAATTCTGACAAAGTAAATATTTAGTTTAATTTTCTTAGCAGTTGATTTCAAGCAAAATTCATTTAACAAATTATGAATCACAACTACACACATTTTCCAGGTATACAAAAACAACCAATTGGTAAATAGTAATAGTAGACCAAATACCGAGTGTGTTAGTCGGTAGTTTATTTTAATAACACAACTTACATAAACATTTTCGCAGTTAAGTCTATAGTCGATATTTAATGGAACGCAATATGGGATACTTGTCATTGGTGCACAGTCCACGGAAATCATCGTAGCTCAAATCGAACAGGGCCACGCCGCCCAGATTCTTGGCACGTACATAGGCTGCCTTGTTGGATGCGGCATCGGCATCATCGTAACTAATCCAAATGCCTTCAGTGACGGCGCCATCTACCGGCCTAAATGCGTAGTTACCAAAACGCTTGGAGGGATCGGTAACACGCTTCAATGGCGAATCGTTGCCCTTGAGATACTGATTTTGTGGATTCGACAGTTTGGAACAGATCTCGGGGAAGCTAAGCAGTCCAGCCTTCTGGGACTGCAGACCTTCTGCAGAGTTTCCTTCGGTGTTTGCCACAATCGGCACACCTTCCAGCCCCGATTCGGGCGATAGTTTCCAAGCGTTGCCATAAGTAGCAACACCCAAGTTGAGCTTGCTGGCGGGGAATCCCTGCTGTAACCAATATTGCACCTGGTAGTCGGCATTGTAGTGAGAAAGACGATTTTGGCCAGTCGGTTCGTACAGCGGAGCCGAATAGTCGGCTTCCTCAGGATTACGAGCTGGCGTTACGAAGTCAAAGGCGGCCAGATTGACAAAGTCAACGAGTCCATTGAGTGCAGGTATATCAAAGTGCCCTGCGTAAAAATCTCAACTAATGCATTTGACACAAGCCATAATTCAATTTGATTACTTACAAGTTGAGTTAACATTCGGAAGCACCGTCAAACTGAGCAGAAACCCATCGGCGCGCAGCGAGTCCTTCACATCTCGAACCAAGGCAGTGAACTGCTCCTTGTGCAGTGCTGCATTGGGATCGACAACGAAATCGCCAGTGAAGAGCTTCTTGAAACTCTTCCAAACCGATCCAATTTCACCATGCACCTTCCTCGGCTTATTCTTGGGTAGCTGATATGCCAGATCCAAGCCATCAAAGCCGTAGTTCTTCACCAACGCATATGCTGAGTGGATGAATGCGGTCTGTCGCACCTTCTCCGCTTCGAGCAGCTCGATGTATTTGTTGGGATGTTCCAGATCGATGTCGTGATCACCGCCAATGCTTAGTAGCACCTTCAGATGCGGATACTTGCGCTTGAAGGACGTCACTTCGGAGAACTGATGCTTGTAGACATCCAGATTTTCATTCAAACTGTGTGCCTGAAAGTTCTCAGCACTGATGCCCATATAACCATAAACCAAATGCGAGCAGAACTGTAAAGCGATTTCCAGATCCGGATTCAGTAGCTTCCCCAGACCTGCAAAGATCATTGATTGCTTTGAGTAACAAATAATGCTGGCAACATCAACTACCCTGTGAATGCTCTGGATGCACTAACTATGCGAGTCTTTGGCGCCTGCATGCACCACACTGCATATTGGGAACATTATCGCGCAGTGACTCAATTAAGAGCAAACCACAACAACAATCGCTTTGAATTTGTATTTTGAGATATTCATTGTCCAGTTGCAACGCACACAGTCGTTTGAGAGTGCTTGAATTGTATATAGTATTCATAATGATCTCTGAATAGCAAATTCAAATAAATCAATAAATATGACAAGAGTTTGTCACATATTGCAAACATAATAATTTCTTCCATAAATAAACTAAAGTGTTTTGTGTGCACTTTAAAATCAAATGATGTTATGTTTGAATATGTGAGAATAGTTTGGTTCCACTGTTAATTTTAATGCGTCACAAAGTGAGCCACTTGTTTGGTCTCCAACTGAGCGATGTTGCTGGGGCAGTTGTGTCGTTGGACTCGCACCGAGTTGTACGCTCAAGTTTCTGTTTCTAGTGCGTGGATTGTGTGGATTTCGAAGCCCTTGTTTTTAGTTTGTATATAAGTAAAATAAGTGCCGTGTTTTTGGATTACAATTTAGTGTACTATTTAGTGTTGTCTCACTGTTGTTGGTAAGTTTTGTTGTCTGACCTTGCCTATAATTGTTTACACATTTAATTGGCATATAGCCAATTTATCGTTTGGCGTTAAACAACAAATATTGACAGAGAGAGAGAGCGCGCGAGAGAGAGAGAGAGAGGGAGCACAGCTCGGCTTGCATTCGCTCTGGAGAGAATTGAATCTCTCTCGAACTCGAATGATAAGCCACTGACCTCCGGCCGGAATAGTTGACCAAGACACAATCGCTCTCTCTCTCTCTCTCTCTCTCTCTCTCCGGCGATTTGTGTACGCGATACGCCTTTTAAATTAGGCAATATGATATGAGTTGAAATTTGTATAGTTCAACATATTTATTATATTGCTGGCTATATCGATTGTCCAGTTTATAAGATGCTAATTCAAAGCTTTAAAGCTACGTCAACAAATGTTTTGAATCTAAAGTGGATTTCCGAAGAAAAATAACAAGTATGAGGGTGCTTTACTGGGGAAATACCCTCGGCACATGCCTTAATTGCCCTAAGCTACATATTTATGTCAATTAATACAGACAAACACACAAGCCTTAATTGGAAATGAATATGGTTTGCTTATTAAGTGACTGTTAAGATGTGAACAAAATATTTTAATATGTAAACTTGATTTGAGTGCTTGTTGAATGCGAATAATTGTGTCGCTAATCCGTTTAATCAGAACGAGTTATTATAAATAATATAAAAAATGATCTGCGTACTTTTATAAGCTATTGAAAAAAGTACATAATTTTCAAAAGTAAGAGTGATTTTGCTATATTAATTAATCTGACACTTGATTTGTTGACAAACAGAGGGACATAAAGGGATCGTCGATTAATAATTATATAATTAATATTATATGTTATAACTATATATTATATTAATATTCATACATTTATCAATGCTTAATATGACAATTAATGACACAATTCTTCGAAAAATACACACATTCAGCCGATGCGCAATTAATGAATGCCTTCAATTGTATTTCTGTTCACGTCAGATCAGGTTTTTTTTAATGACAGTTTTATGTCCTACCTTCACGCGTATAGCTCGATGAATCATAGTAGCAGACCAGGTTAGATGCGGCACTTGTGACCGCCACAAAGAACGAAAGCAATATAAACTGCCTCATTGTGTAGTATTCTAAATGTACTCTGTGGACACCTACGAGATACACACGACCGTATCAGCGATTAAATGAAATCGAACTGAAATTGAAACCGAAACAGAAACCGAAACTTAAACTGAAATTGAAAACAAAGCGACAAATGAAGCTGCCCAGAGACGATGACGATAGCAAAAGCTTCCATAGCTTCCATAGAGAGGAGCTTAATGTTTTCTCACTAGCCCAACCGACCAAGAGAGCAAGTCAACTCAAGTCCAGTCCAAGTCAAGTCAAGTTTTTATTTTACACTTACTCTTACAATAATTGGATTGCGTAAGCAAAGTTATTGAGTTGTTTCTGACTGCGGTTCAAGTGAACGAGGCCAGAAGCCTAACATTGAAACAAGATCGCTGATTAGAATAAAAAAATAGGTTTTTTATTTATGAAAACTACATCAACTACAAATTAACCCAGAAGATATTTAACCGAACGCACTATGGGATACTTTTGGCCGGTGCAAAGACCACGGAAGTCGTCACAGCTCAGATCGAAGATAGCAACCCCGCCAAGGTTCTTGCTTTTGGCATAGGACGCTTTGATGCCCGCAAAGTCGGGATCATCGAAGCTAACCCACAGTCCGTGCTCGCCGTTCTCATCAGCCGGACGCATGGCATAGTTGCCGTATTTCTGTGTCAGGTCTGTGACCTTGCGTAACGGTGCTGCGGCACCCCGATAAACAGCTGTCTGATTGAAGGGCAGCATTGCGCATATCTCGGGCCAACTTAGCAAGCCTTCGTTGCTGGCTACTTGAAGTCCACCTGGGCCAGCCCCATCGGTAGACGGAACCACCGGCAAGCCACTTAGGCCCGAGTCTGTGGTCAGTTTCCAGGCACGTCCATAGCTGGCTATGCCCAAATGCAGTTTCCGAGGTGGACACTGGTGTTGCAGCCAGTAGTTTAACTGAAAATCTACATTGAGATGGGGTTGACGCTGCTGCTCATCCAAATGGAGGATTGGGGCTGTGAAGTCTGCTTCCTCGGGATTGCGGAAGGGTGTGAGAAAGTCAAATGCAGCCACGTTGATAAAGTCCAGTTTGGGATGCAGCTTGGGCACGTCAAAATACCCTAGAAGAAGTACAAATTATGTGAAATACCCTGTCAATAATCTATTTATTGAATGTTTTACTTACAAGTTGAGTTCACATTGGGCAGCACGGTCAGTGTCAACATCAGATTGGCGCTCTGATATGCATTTCTTAAGTTCATCACCAGATCTGTGAACTGTTCCTTGTGCTGATCGGCCGAAGGATCCACAATGAAATCACCGGTGAACAATTTCTTAAACTGTTTCCAGTAACTGCCAATGGAGCCATGCACTTTTCTCGGCTTGTTTTTGGGAAACTGGAAGGCCAAGTCCAGGCCATCGAAGCCATTTCTACGCAGCAGCACCATACTGCTGTCAATAAAGTTCTGTTGTGCTGTCCGATTCGCCTCGAGGAGATCGAGATACTTGTTGGGATGCGACTCGTCCACATCATGATCACCGCCAATGCTCAGTAGCACCTTCAGGTGTGGAAATTTGTTGCGCAATTCTGTTATGTCCTTGAAGTGAAACATATCCAGATCGACATTCAAGCTGAACACCTCATGGGTGTCGGGCTTCAATCCCACATAGCCATAGACAAGATGTGTACAGAACTGCATGGCCAGCTCCAAATTGGCGGTGTCCAGTTTGGCCAAACCCAGGCGCAAAAATGACCTCGAATCATAGTAGCAAATCAGATTCGAATTGCCATTGATAGCGGCGTGTGTTAAACTCAGCACGCCCAGCAAGCTCCAAAGTAATAGCTTCATTTTGTGCAAATATCGCAGAGCAAGTGTTGACTTTCTGAGTGTATAATCGCAACTGTCTAAATACGATTGTACTTACTTGCGAGTCGATTCTCGAATGAGAATGAAACGCTTATCTCAGCACATGAGCATCTCATATTATTCATAATGATGACGACTGTATCAGGCTGTTTTTATGTGCTTGTTTTGTGCGCAATCATTTCTGTGGAATACATATTGTTTTGAAAATCATTTGTAAAAACATTGTTCTTTCCGGATAAATCTAAAGTTCAATTCTGATTAATAATTTATCGCCGAATATTAAATACCCTTGCAGAAGTTCAATTAATTGTGATTGTTGTTTTGAGCGTTGTTTGACTAAAGATCCGGATATTATATAAGACATCTGTCAAATGTCTTTTAATGTATTTGAGCAGCAAATGCCTGAAGACAGCGTATCTGTTTCTCATTGTTCTCCTCGTATTTGTGTCTCACTCTGCGATCGCTTTTCGTACTCTTGAATGATCTTGAAGCTGTCTTATAGGCGCTCCAAGACAGGCAACCTGCTGGGCTTTTAAGAGAGGGGCGGGCTATGCGCAGCAGCTGTCAGCCGAGACAGCGGGAGGCTCTTAAATCAAAAATCAATTGAAGCATTAAATACCCGAAACAAATACCTTAAGATATTTGTGGGCTTACATACATTTACAGCCAGGGGCCTAATTACAATCGTCACAACAATACCGACAAACTATGGAAGGACTCGCATGTGTCACCACCAATTATACAGAGGACACTGTGAGCATTATCTGTCAGGGGCTGCAAAAGAATGGCATACACATATACACATACACAGATACACATACATAGACACTGCCACTCAGGAGTAATCCTCACACGCTGCTTAGCGTTGACAATGGGGCGTATCACAATGCGAGAGGCGTGCAGAGTGAGAGAGAGAGAGAGAGAGGGTGTGAGGAGGCGCACAGTTAATCTGCAATGACCCCTGATTTCGAGTGTATGATATATATATATATACATACATGCGCCTCAATCCGTGTTAATATCTATGTGTGCCTCTTATTGTTGTTTGATTTATATCTGCAAGAGCTGTGTGCGGCAAGTTAAACAGTCTCTCCATCCTTTGTGGGTATTTGCTTTGTGATTGAATGTTTATCTCGACGAGAAAAATAGGTTATCCAAATATAAATCAGAAATATAAAACTATGGATTTCAATGGTCAGCATATCTCCCATTTTTACACACACCAGTTCATATGCCACTAATGGACTACAAGTATCTGTCAGCTTTGTTTATAAACTACTATGTACTTTTATAGGACTATGTACTTTTATAGGACGGACATTGGGAAATGTAATCAGTCAATCTATCATTGGGAAATAGTTGTCAATATCAGAAATGTTGTTTTAGATTTGATTTTTCGCCTGTATTTGTGATTGGGAATCTTAAATAATTCTTGTTGTTCCCCAATCAACAATGCCACAAATTTTGGATCATTTTGCATTTAAATATCCACAGAAATCTTATAAATATTTCTGCTTTTTTATTTTTAATTTAATCTAAATATTAAATTTTATTTTACATTTAATTACAATTATTTTTTAATGCTTTCTTTTCATTAAATAAATAAATACATATATAAAAATTTACTACACATGTGTCTCGGGTCCAAGACGCAGTTCCTTCCTTCTGCTGTTAGCCGATTTTACCATGGAAACATGAATGTTGCATCGTCAACAGATTTCAAACGTTTTTAATTTAATTACTCGCAATAACATTTCCAAAGATTTCTGCTAAAAAGTTCAGCTCCAGTGAATATAACAATTTCGAAATTGTAATTAATAAGTACTTAAGACCTTAAGGAACAAGTGTACTTGCCACTTTAAGTTGCTCGTCTTTTCTGTCTACTCTTTGTCTTTGCCATAATTTTCATTGAGCTCTTACCCGCTTTAGTTTGGCTTCACTTCACTTCTGTTTTTTTTTTGTTTCAAGACATACATCCCCTCTCCGCAGCCGACTTGGCATAATTAAGTCCAATAATAATTTAAACAAATACCTTTGCCAATTTGGGGCTCCAGCCCCAGACCCCGCCCCCGCCGCAGCCCAGCTCCCATTCACCTTTCATAATTATCTATGTTCCTTTGGTAGCAGGTGCACAAAGCCGCAAAGCATTTGCCTTTTTACTTATTTGTAATTAGAAAGCCAGCAACTGTGCTGTTGGCTGCTGCTCGGCGAGCTCACTTTCAATGCAATGTGAGACACAAAAGGGAATTCAATTTTCACAAAACAATTGCCACAACAAGAAGCGTTCGGCAAATGAAGAGTGCTGCTCAATTGATGTGCATAATCAGTTTATCAGCCGGAGTTGTATTCTGCTATTTCTTGGGGGTTGCTCTGCTCCCAAAGCAGATTCATCATTGTCAAATGTGGCTTGACATTTTTTAAGGTTGGTGACCAAAAAAAAACCGAAAAAAAAAATGATAAAGAAAAAACGGTGAAAAATGTAAAGTTTTTTGAGCGGGCTTTTTGGGTGGTGCGCGTTAGTCCGGTGATATAATTAGAAATTTATAATGAATTTTATTTGCACTGGCCACAAAAAAGATACAGAAACGCGAAGAGACGTCAAAATGTTCCTTAAAATTGACGCACATTTGTGTGCAAATAAAATTAAAGCACTCCCCGCAACCGCCCCCCCCAAAAATGAGCCAAAAGGCATATCAAATTCTCGGCCAAGGGCCGGCCAGACCATCAGTCAGCCGATGAGATGAATAAGGAGGGTGTTAATGCGGCATGCAAGTATCAAAGGGACGTTTGAAAAATGAAATTAACAATTGTTGTTGACTTAAGCGCACGGAAAACAAACAGAAAGAATAACAACAAGAAAAATTACCCATCCTAGGCACGCCGACGATTGCATACCCTAGTATATCAGAGTTAAACTACTGAGATCGATTTGTTAGTCCAGAGTTTCAAATATTATTATGTTTTTCTATGTTTAAAAGAAATAGGCTGTGTACTGAATATTCCACGTTTTGTAGTTATTTATCAGAAATTGTGGAATATGTCTCAGCTGTATGAAATAGTGGTCCGATCTGATCAGCACTGAGTTATGTAGTGTCTTCAGCATAAGGATTGATAGATGTCAATTTTTAACAAGATAGCTTCAAATCTATGAAAGCTCAATTTATAAAAAAATGGGTGTAAAAAATCAGTACAGACACAGTGACTGTTGGCTGGACATAACTATTCATATATATATATAAATATATATATATAAATACATATTATATCATGGAGTCGGAGACGTCTCCTTCAATGTGTTACAAGCTTCAGGACATAATTATAATACCCTTTACGAGGGTATAAAAATACTAACGTTGAATGCCTTTAGTCTGATCTGCTGGTATATAATAATATATAGAAGTACGAATTCATATTTGATTCTATATAGTTGGTTTAGTATAGATATTTGGATTTGGATATGTCAACTCAGCTATTGATGCTGGTCCGAATGATGGAATAGTGTAAAATATAGACTTTGGCATTTTCAGTGTTTTGTTGGGTTTTATGCTTAAAATATATAATTTAAAATCTTACAAGCGAAATGTTGTGCATAACTATAAATACTATAACAGACATAGCTATAAAAGAAAATAAGATTTTCTATTATTAAAATCGCATTACTTTATCTTCTCTATTATATATCTCTGCTAACTATGCATTTAATCAAAGATTAATGTGTTATCCTTTAATCGCAAGTACTCCTTTTCCAATTGGTAACAGAGTATACAGTTTTTTAACGAGTCAAAGTACTTTTATTTTAGCGTCTGAGCCGGTGTGTTGGGGAATGTCTTTCGATAAACAGAGACTAATTTCGTTGTTGTCATCATTAGATGTTGCATCAAAAGAACATTTTTGTAGGTTTGTGCTTATCCTGTCAGGAAGCACGAGCAACCGCTCCATTTGTGCTTTCAGATGAAATTACTTTGGTTTTCTGGACTCTATTTGGCTGACTGGCCCCATATACACATATCTCACTTGACTCACTTGAAGGACTTCGCTGTTGGGGTGACCTTCGGGCTGTTGCTCATATTCATTATAAGCCTTAATAACTGTTGTTTACAAACAGCGGCAAATGTCAAAATACCGGCTAAAGGATCGAGTTTGACCAGCGGTTGGCACTGGCGCCTTCTGGTTTTCCGCTCAATTTGCTTTTGTCTGGGTGTTTGGTGTCTGGTTACCAGTTGCAGCTAACTGACTGACTGCATATTGGATTAGCTTGGGTTCCTCTCGGCTTGGAATTGATTCACCGATCCCAGCCAGGCGCTCAAGTATCAGAAACAGGTCTGCATGAAACCTTAGTGGCGACATGTGTCATACGACAGTTGGGAAAGTATTCATATTGTTATTTCATTAAGAATGCACTTGACAAAAATCAAATTTTAGCACATGTTCCATAAGGTGTATACAAAATACAAATTTGATTAAACCCATAGCAGTATACGTTTGTTATTATTTCTCTGTGCTTATTAAGTTGCCACAAAAGAAAAGTGAGAAAAGTGAAAAATGTATAAATATTGTATGTAAATTAAATGACAAAATATTCGCATAAATAATAATTAATGTGTAACCTCTTTTAATCATGTAATAAAATTAATTGACATATATTAATCAGTTATCATACTCGACTTGAAAATACCTTACATGCAGGTCGTTCAATATATAATTTATGGTTATGAATAATAATATAATAGGTAAGTGTTAAAAAGTTGATTTTTTAATTGATAAGACTTGAATAGGTTTATTTTCTTTTGAGTCTTTGCCGAGTGTATTTTACTTCTGCCTGGGTACAGGGTATTCAAATATAATATTATTTATTCTCGTAGCTTTGTGCAATTTATATCATTTTTGTTATGCTATTCAAGCATAAATGCATTAATGTCAACGGTTTTCATCACCCACATATCAAAAACAAAAATAAAAAAATGAACTCACAATGGAAGCCCATGGATTTTTAATTTCATTTTTAACGCCGCATACAAAATGTAATTAAAACAGAATAACAATAAATTAAGTGGTTTGTAAATAAATTTAAATATATATAT